GGCCCCAGAAGTCCTGTGGCCAGAGTATGACCAGGTACTTCCAAGTAGGGACAAGTGCAGCTTTGGGATGAGAGCGACACAGGTTCTAACCTGAGCCCTGCTGGTTCTGAGCCATGCACCCCTCCATCTGCACCAGGAGGGCAATCACAGAACCTGCCTCACGGGGCAGCTGTGTAGCAGGTGGGGGGTCCATGAGGCCATGCTGGAAAGCACCTGGCCTGAAGGGGGTATCTTATTACTCTCAGCTGGGAGACTCTGGTGCAAGACAGGGCGGGTGACAGAGGAGACACTACGAAGCCCCTGCTCCCACTTCCCTTTGTTTCTTCCCACCCCTGTCCATATGCCCACAATTCTGACATGGCTGTCCCCTCCATCTGGCCAGAGTACTGAATCCTACCTTTCCGACAGAATTACCAAATGCATTTTTTTTTCATATTACTATGAGTTTCAGTTAGAATGAATGAATTCAGCTGTAAGTAAAATTCCTGCCCGGCAGTGGCTGAATCAATAAAGTTGGTTAATTGTCTTGTGTAACAAGTCACCAAGTCATCCACAAAAATGTCCCCAAGGTTTTTCTTTTTTTAATAACTTTTTCGGGGCCGCCTGGGTGGCTCAGTCGGTTAAGTGTCCGACTCTTGATCTTGGCTTAGGCCTTGATCTCACAGTCGTGAGTTCCAGCCCCACGTCGGGGCTACACGTGCAGCCTACTTAAAAAAATAAACAAAATAATTTTTCCGGTCAGCCGTCCCCAGTATGCCAGCTTCTGGTCCTCAAGACTTATCACCTCAGGGCTGGCTCAGCTCTGAAACCTGCCAGTGGCTGGAAGAGAGGGAAGCTCCTAGTCTTTGTTTCATTTTTTTATTTTTTAAAAGATTTTATTTATTTATTTGACAGAGACACAGCAAGAGAGGGAAACACAAGCAGGGGGAGTGGGAGAGGGAGAAGCGGGCCTCCCGTGGAGCAGGGAGCCCAATGTGGGGCTCGATCCCAGCACCCTGGGATCATGACCTGAGCCAAAGGTAGATGCTTAACTACTGAGCCATCCAGGCGCCCCGTTTAAACAAGGGAACAAATGCCCTCCCACAGTCCTCCTAACAGACCTCCCCTTACATTTCAGGGACCAGAACTGGGTCACCAGCCCCCTCCTAAACCAATCACGCCCAGGGGAAATGAGATCTGTCTGGCTGGATTACACCTGTCACAGCTCAACCCCAGAGGCCAAGGGAGAGACTCGTCTGGAACTGGAATAAGTCAGCAAGAAGGGTAAAGGGCCTGCCACTTGACATGATGAGCCCCTTGAGGATCAGAGGAAGGAGCTAGAGCCCAGAGTGGTTAAGTCCCTCATCCAAGGCCACATGTGACTTTGCAGAAGGGCCAGGGTGAAAACACGGCCACCGGCTCAAGGAGCATTACCCGCTTCACCACGGTGCTTCTCAACTAACTCTAGCTCACTCTAAGCCCCCAGAGGGCAGACACCCCATTCCCGGGACTCCCTGAGCTGGGCCAAAGGCATGATATGGACAGATTCAACACTGTTACAGAAGAGAGCCCCCAATGTACCCAAATGTGCCTGACGCACCTAGAAAGAGCTTGGCAGGCAAGTCAGCAGGAACGCAGAGCCTGACAAACAGCATCTCTAAAGCTGCCTGGACAGCCGCCAAGCCGCCTCACTCCCCAGGGCTGACCTCATACTTCTGAAGATCCTCAAGATGCCTGAGGTCTGTGCGTTGCCTCCCAAGCTGCAGGCTGGGAGCCATGCAGAGAGGTGGGAATGCAGAATCCAAGCAGCCCACCCCACCACCCACCCCTCCTGCCAGAGCCTCCTGCCTGTGCCGTGCAGGCCCCATTCCAGAAGAAACTGAGCAACACCCTCCATCCTCCCAGATGAGGCCTGTCCCAACCGGTCTTCCTGCCTCCACCAATCGGAGGGGATGCCTTGAAGAAATTCTCACACTCTGGCTATTCCTGTCTGTTTTTGCTCCAGACTTCTGGAAGGGGAACGAAAAGCGGGCAGACCTCATCAAGGTGCTAAGAATATCTCTGAAGTCAGTTCCACCACCTCAAAGAGAGTTGGAGAGCTCAGGGCCCGGCTGAGGCCTGCGCTTAGTGGTAACAGGAATTGTTTACTAAACCCAGAACTGGATCAGGCCTTTCCGTGGTAACTAACAGCAAGGGCTCCCAGGCCACTGAGGCCACACGTGCCGGGTGTCGGGGTGGGGGGTTAAGCCCCTTCATGCCCTCTGCCTCCACTTCCAGACATTCTTCCCAGATCAAACAACCTACTGTGCGCAAGGCCCATATCAGGTAAGGTGAGCAGCCTGGGGAAAGGGCAGGTAGCCAGCCCTCCGGGACACATGAGCTCCCTTCCGAAACCTCCTTACAACCCACCCGCTCAGCCTGCAGCTACAGAGCAAGGCATTTGTCCTTACCCACGTTCACTGAAAAGTTTTAATTCCCCTTGTAAACAAAACAAAACAAAACAAAAAAACCCCACAAGGGCTAAAAATCGTGTGATGTGGGAGAGGAAAGGTGTCACTTACTTGCCACGCTCTCTTTGGCCTGACCCAGGGGAAGCCGGCCCAGCGGCTCGCAGTTTTAAACTTTCCTTTCCTTCCACAAGTTTTTCTCAGAACAGTGGCTCCCACTCCTCAGAGCTGAAAAGTCTGCATACCTTGAAAGTATGCGAGCTGCAGGGCCATGCAAACAGACTGGAATTTTCCATTTATAGAATAATAATCTTCATACCACTCTAGGGGCCGGTGCTCTTGTGGTCAGAGCTCAGAGCTCAGTGTCAGCAAACCTGCTACGCTTCTGTGGGCTCTTTTATTTATTTTTGGTGGGAGAGGGGGAGAAAAAAAAAAAAAGGAATGACTTTTTAACTTGAGTGCCAACACAAACTTGAAAAAGGAACTGCGTTGGCAAGTGCAGAATATGACGGCCTGGTTTCACGACTTAAATCAACCGTTAGGGAGCAGGAGGTGAAGAAGAGGCTGAGAAACAGATCTTCAACCCTTCATGCAGACAGGTGGCTAGAAAAGGCATCATGTTACTGCCCCAAGTCCTTCCCTGTGCCCGCCACCTGGCTTCTGGACTGCTCCCCGAGGGTAGGTTCCAAGCAAAGGGCACAAGGCCCCATCTCATATCTCTTCTTCATGTCCCCTGTGTTCCACACTCGATTTCTGCTGATGCACACACAGACTTATAGTCTGAAATACCTTCGGGGTCCATGTGTAACGGAAAGGCCACCAAGCCATTTGTGAAGGGGCCTGAGTTCCAGTTCTGGCTGTGACATATTCACCGTGTGACCTTGAAGAAATCCTTCTCTTCTCTGCGTCTCCTTTTCTTCATCTGTAAAGTAAGGTTGGATTGAATGATCCCAAAGGTCCCTTCCACCGCTGGCAGTCTGACTCCCTCGTTCATTCTAAAGTAAACCGGTGCCAGCATGAGGTTCTGGGCAGCCCCTACTGGGCCATTCTAAATCTGCCGGACACAGCCAGACCCAGAAGCATAGCCTCCTGCCTAATGAGGGCTGTCAGCACCAGCTGCCCCCGACCCCTGTTTCCGTAGCCAGAGCACACAGCCAGAGTGGGGAAGCAAAGTCCTGACCTGCCCACCTTGCCTGCCAGCCCAGCCACTAGAGGAGGCATTTTCCCAGTCCCATAGAACCCTAAAGAATCCTTCACAGTACCTAAAACCTTTCCTACTTTCCATTTTTTTAAAAGGTGTCCCTTCTCCCAGGAAGGGCGCGACCACCTCCCACCCTCCTAATCAAAAATCTTCCATTTTCCATTGTTTTTACAAAAATATTTGACTCATTTTAAAGTACTAAATAGTAACGCTGAATGTGCTTTATTTTTTTCAAGCTGCACATACAGCCCATTTTTTATACAGTCCCCCCCGCCGGGGGAGGGGGTGAGAGCTTCACACACACACCAATCACTGTCCGAGGGTGGAAGATTTTCTGGCCCAGCCCACATCCCTACCTAAGTCACCCGCTAATGGCCACCCAGTCTCTGAACACCTGTTGGGAGTCTGCAGCGTGCTGTAGGAAAGTCCTGATGCTTCCACTACTTACTACAAGAACCATAACCTCTCTACAACCTCAGAGATTCGTGCGAAGATTTCAGCCAGCTGAAAGCTCTCCAAAGCACCGTGCAAACGGAAGTTACTCGATTGTTGGGGCAGCTCTGTCTTGACGACTGCAATCTCAGAGCGCGCCAAATCCTGCCTCCCCACAGCTTGTCCTGCTGATGCTGGTGAGCGGGGAGAGGGGGCTTCTCGGAAGGCTGACCTGGGGCATTCAAGGCTGGGAGGAGGGTGCGCGAACCTTGGGGCGTTCCCCCATCCCCACGCCTACCCGTGCTCTCCGTGAGTCTCGCCACCCGACCGAGGGAGACCCAGGCCTGGTCACCTGCTCCAAACTCAAAGCACAGCGCTCAGGCGAAGGCCGTCCCCAGCAGCAGCCCCTCCCCTCCCTTCCCCTCGTCTCCCCCTACTTCGCCCTCCCCTCCCAGCAGCGCAGGCAGGGCACGCCCCCTCCCCCAGATTTACCAATCGGCGTCCCGAGCGGCGCCCGTGGCTCAGGGGGCTCTGGTCAGCAGCCAATTAGCGCCCGGGCCCAAGGCGGTGCTTCCCCCGCCCCCTTGCAGAATGAAAGCCGCCCGCAGCTGGCGAGGCTGGCGCAGCGCGTGGGGCGCGGGAGCCGCGCGGGCCGAAGCGGAGCGCGCGCACTGCCCGCCCGCCCCCGGCGCGCCCGCCTCTGCTCCGCCTCCGTCCGAGGCGCGGGCAAGGAGGCTGGGGCGGGGTAGCGCAGGGGGCAGGGCCGCGGCGGCGAGGCCGAGCTTGGGGGGGTGGGGGGGTGGACGGGGAGGAGCGGGACCCGATAAAAGGCTGCGAGGCGGCCCCACCCCGCGGCAGGCCGGCGGGCAGGCTCGGCGCTTCCCTTCCGTCCGGCCCGCGCCGGCGGCGGGGAGGCGGCGCGCGCGGCCCGCAGCCCGCCCATGGAGGCTTTCCCCTGGGCGCCACGCTCGCCCAGCCGCGGCCGCGCTCCCCCGCCCATGGCGCTCGTGCCCAGCGCCCGCTACGTGAGCGCCCAGGGCCCGGCGCACCCTCAGCCCTTCAGCTCGTGGAACGACTACCTGGGGCTCGCCACGCTCATCACCAAGGCAGTGGACGGGGAGCCGCGCTTTGGCTGCGCCCGCGGCGGCGGCGGCACCTCCCCGCCCTCCTCTTCCTCCTCGTCCTGCTGCTCCCCCCACGCAGGGACCGGGCCCGGGGCGCTGGGGCCGGCGCTGGGGCCGGCCGACTACGACGACGACGACGACGACAGCGACGAGCCAGGGTCCCGGGGCCGCTACCTGGGCGGCGCGCTGGAGCTGCGCGCGCTGGAGCTGTGCGCGGGCCCCGCCGAGGCCGGGCTGTTGGAGGAGCGCTTCGCCGAGCTGAGCCCGTTCGCCGGTCGCGCCGCCGCCGTGCTGCTGGGCTGCGCGCCCGCCGCTGCACCCACTACCGCCGCCGAGGTGGCGCCGCGCGAGGAGCGGGCCCCGGCGTGGGCGGCCGAGCCCCGGCTGCACGCCGCCTCCGGGGCGGCCGCCGCCCGACTGCTCAAGCCCGAGCTGCAGGTGTGCGTGTTCTGCCGGAACAACAAGGAGGCGGTGGCGCTCTACACCACCCACATCCTGAAGGGACCCGACGGGCGAGTGCTGTGCCCGGTGCTGCGCCGCTACACGTGTCCCCTGTGCGGCGCCAGCGGCGACAACGCGCACACGATCAAGTACTGCCCGCTCTCCAAAGTGCCGCCGCCGCCGCCCGCCGCCCGCCCGCCGCCGCGCAGTGCCAGGGACTGCCAGGCCGGGAAGAAGCTGCGCTGAGGGCCTGGGCTTCGGTCTGCTGCCACCTGACGCCACCAGGGTCACCGCCTGCCCGCGCTCTCATTTTCGGCTTACGCACCATCTTTTCCTCGCTGTTGGAGAGGCGTGGAGGTCGGCAGTTGAAACTCAACTTGGGAAGTCGTTTTTGTTTTTTTTTCTTCCCCAAAGCAAGCCGAACGTATGGAGTACTTTTCTGTCGAAGAGCGGTTGAGACTAGACGCTAAAATCTTGATTTCTCTCTGGCCTGTAGTTTGTGCACATCCGGACGGTGAAGGCTGGGTGTGTATTCCACTACCTGAAATATGGCAACTTAATTGCGCTGTTTATTTACTGTATACGTCTATTTTAGATGCGCATCAGTATGAATTGTTTCAATCTAATCTCGGATGTTTAATTTTATGGAGGCACTTTACTAGGTCTAGAATATTTTTTTAAAAGCCTCATAACTGAAAACTGGCGATTTTATGGAATGTCGGCAAAATGACTATTTTATTGTTTGGAAACAATATTTCTTAGTTGTCCTTAATCAGTTACTCTAATTCCAGGTGAAGCACGCCCCTGGCGGCATCACCGTTTTGAAAAAGTGAAGGTTTAGTAAACTTTCCGGTATTAATTTGTGTGGGTAGTCCCTCCTTGTGGCTTGTTTGTCTTGGCTGGAGGTGTAAAAATGCACAATCTGTAGCAGGTAGAACACAGCTCCTTATCCTTTTATGTACCAGATCTTTTTATTACTAAACTAGCAACTAGCATTTCCACCCTGAAAAATTGTGCCAAGTTATAATCCTATTGTGTATACACTTGGAAATTGGTGCTGTTTAAAAACTTGTGTATTTATACAGTAACAGTATATGAATTCATTTATCTTGCCTATTTGCTACTTGGCCTTTTGTCCATGCACCCACCTCCCCGTTTCCATTTCTTTAAAAACATCTGTAACATTAAGATCAAAAGGGAGCAGTATTAATTCACCCTGCTCAATTTCAGAGTTCCCAAATAGTAGAAAGCTCATTCCAGCTGTTGTCTCCCAAACTGAATGGAAGATGCAATCCTTGAGCTCCGGAAGACTAATGTAATAGCCTGTGTTCAAGAAGATTCCACTATGGGCTGTGTCTGGCTTGAGGCCCAGGCAGGCCTCAAACCAGAATAAGCACTGAAGGAATTATGGAGTAGGGGTGGAAGACAAGGAACACAGCCTCCCCCGTGCTCCCTTTTTCCCTGGAATACCCTGGTCTGTTTCTGGAATCCCACCACTTACCCACAAAGGAGATTGACCCTATCCTTAGGCCAACTTTAGCTCCCACCCTCATTTATAGCCATGCCAGATGCCACACCATGGCTTGTAGCTACCTACCATCAGGACAGATAAGAGGAAGCAAAAATGGAAGTGAATTAGGATAAGTGTACAAAATACATCACTATCTGAAAATCGCAGCAGGAGATTTAGTCGTATCTACTTAAATCCAAGTAGAGTTCGGCTCCTTTATTAGACATTAGACTGCTTTTATATCAAACAGCTAACTTCCTCCACAGCAAAATGGCTTGAGCACTCCTTCGAGGGTATAACAGACGGTGAGGTAAATAATACTGGAAGGTTGTGAGCCTTTTTGGTCAAAGGAATGGGGGGGTCAGAACAAGGTGGGGAGGTGGAGGCAAACAGTATGTTGGCCAAGAGAAATCCATTCCCGCTAGTCCAGCCCCAGAACACAGAACTTTAGATGTGACTAGTCTTATACTCAAGGACCTTAATAAAACCATGTGATTATTCTTTTGTTGTGCTAGAAAATACACATTTAATTTTGGTCTCAGTAGATGAATAGAATTCCTGTTACCTCTCCTGCTGTTCTACCTTTTCAAAGAGCACTAGTCTTTCTCCAGCGCAGAAGGCCTAGGCAGGCAACTACTTTGTATTTTCAAAAGACACTATTTCTAGGTGTCAAGCACTTGGCTTTGACATGTTCAATATGAGAACCCCTCAGTGATGAGATGCGCCTCATACGAATTTGATATTGACACCATCAGTTTTAATGGCAAACATCATGTCCATTCATTTAAAACACTATCAGCCCCCCTCAAATTTGCCCCCTTTCCAGCTAACATTAAAACAAACACTGGGAAGTTAGAGCATGCACAGAGAATATTACTACAGTTAATCTTCTAGAGATCTCTTAGGAAAAGTATACTAACCACACTAAGGCACTTAAGAGGACCAAGCATAGAACTCTGAATCTAAAACTTTAAGTACTTGCAAAATTAAATTTAGGGTGTGGGGCACCTGGCTGGCTCAGTGATAGAGCATGGCACTCTTAATCTTGGGAGTTGTAAATCTGAGCCCCACTTTGGCAAGTAGAGTTTACTTAAGAATTTAGGGTAAAAGAAACCTAATTTTTTAAAGTTTAAAGAAATACATAAAATAATAGTGTGACAAAGTTATCTTGTTTTTATAAGAATATGCCTGTATATTTGGCTAAAAACAAAACAATGCATGGAATCCTCAAAAGCGCTTTACCAGCTCTGCAGGCAGATTGCCTTACCTTGCTGGTCATTTTCTGTAGACACATTTGCAGGGAGTGGCTTTTTATTTCTTTGGATTTTAATTTTCCTATGCGGTCCTTTTTGGAAGCTGTAGAATGAACTGTGATGACAACTTTCGGCCTAAATTTTAAGTAAGCCAAAATTATTTTAAAATTATACTACAAATATGTCTACCTCAAGGGAAAGGGCAGGGAAGTTTCAGTGTTGGTCCTCACCTTCTAGTCTGTGCTTAACCACATGAGGAACATTCCTGCATTCCTTCCGGTGTCCCAATTATCTAGGTCAATTAGACTTAGTAAAATTAGAAATGAATCTACAGTCAAAATGTCTTTGGTAAAAAAAAAAAAAAAAACAGGTAAAGCACATAAAAGCATGCCAACACACAGATTCCCACCTCTTCCTAGAAGCCAGTAAGGACGAGGGGGATGTAGAGTCTCTTCTGGGCCACTGTCTCCACCCTCAGATGCACACGTATGAGCGGCGTGGTGTTCTTGTGTAAAAATGCAGAAGCCACTGGGAGCATGAAGACATTCCACACACAGGGAGGAGGTTGGATGTCCAGCTTTCCTGACACCTGTGCGTACTGGGGGTGCAGGGGAGGCTGTGAGGCCCTGAGCAGAACGGAGTAGGACCAGGAAGCAGCAGCAGACTCCTGCCCCCACCCTGTGCTTGGGATTTCAACTCCTAGGACAAAGGACTTGGGGGCACAGTATTTATCTGGGAAAGGGTTCCGGCAGGAAGGGCGGGTTTGCAGACCAGCCCAACCATCAGACATGCATCCATAACTCATGTAAATAAATCAGCTTAAGTGAGTGGTCCCCCAGCGCCAGTCAGTGCTGTCACAGGTACAGTCCTGTTCTAATGATTGGGGTTACCGCCCCAAGTTCATTAATTTGTTAAAAAGAACACGTCCTCTCCCCAAAGACCTTTTAAAATTTCCACTTGTTTGAACTACTAGATATTAAGGAAATTAAATGTTGAAAAAAAGTCATTTCCATCACCGCTAACATCAAACAGAAAAGGCTGCATCTGATCGTTTTAAAAAAAGCATCAATACTCCCTCTTCTGGCCGCCTTATAGCTGTACCAACAGGAATTCTCACCACCCACCCAATACTGGAAATAATTTGCGTGTCTGTAGCCACTATCAATTTGCTACTAATATTCTCTGAAATTATATTTTTTCTAATTTCAGGGGAATACCCAAAATAGTAAGCCACCGACCTACCCAGACCCCATGCATACAAGCTCACAGAGAGGACAGCATTATAAGGAAACTAAGGGGGGGGGTTCCTTAATTAAGGAAGGAAACATCCTAGCCATGTTGGCTTTCTATTTGAGTTATTTTCTTTGATCCTAAACAGACATTTAATGGCAACAAAAAAAACCCTCAAAACAAACAACTAGATTTACAAACTCACCATAGTAAGTAAACCACTTTGTAACTACAAATCAACACTAAAACAAATTCTGTAAGTATTTTATTTATCATTGAAGAAAAAACACAGCAGCAAGTTCTGTGTTGGCTTCAATAAGACCAAATAGTTAATCTTTGACATTGCTACGACACTCCAAAATTGAAGTCAACACAGTCATTACTACAAATTACTTGTTGAAAGAATCTATCCTGAAGAGAAAGAAAATTAGGAAAAAGAATTTAAACAATTCCTCCAAACCACACATTTATAAATATTGTCATATTTAAAATGCTTGAAAGGCATGAATTCTCCATTAATGGAAAAGCAGTTTGCTATTGGCAACAGAAAAAACTCAGCAATAGTTTACCAAATGCTTTAAAATTTAAAAGCCGTAACTGATTTGGATTCACACTTGAGCAGTATTCTTGTCATTACAATAATGACTGCAAATTGCTTTATACTCACCTCTCAAGTAAAAGCTACAGAAAATCCCACTGTATCCAATGTTTGTAATGTTTACTGCACTTACAGTGAACCTAAAAACTTTCTAAATGTAGTTAATATAGTAAATACCTCAAAATACCTAGAGGTATGTCTCAACCGCTAATGGTGTGGAAGTCGTTTCAGCCCCTGCTTTTGAAGAGTCTTCAAATACATTTTCTCTAACAGAATCATACCTCATTCCAAATTAATATAGTATTTCAAAAACAAAAGAAAAAGATCAGTTCTATACCAAGATACAGGTGTTACTCCATACCTGACAGGTTCACATTTTCAATTTATTTTTTAGTTTTTCTTTTTTGTAAACAAACGATTGATGAAATAATGCAACACCTTAAATTCCAGAAAACGGCCTGCCTGTCCAACCTCCTGTGGACACGGTGCACAATCAATCTATTATAGAGGATTAATACAAGTTCATGCTTTTTGTTATGAGACAACATTAAAGAATCCAATTTAGACTGGTTGAAGCACAGTATAATAATCCTTGAATGTGATCAAACCTATGTGAGACATGAGTTTGAATCCATTATCTTGAGATTTAACGTCGTACCGTGGTCCATCCATCTTCATCAGTCTCGTTTTTAGTACGACGAAGAGATTCCCTATCTTTCTCAGCTCTCCATGAGGCCTTCTCTTTTTCACCTTCTCTTTCCCTGTCTCGGTCTCTTTCTCGGTCTCTTGAAAGAGCTGGGGGAGGAACACGACGAGGGGCTTCCCGCTCTTCTGCCCGCTCATCTTTCCTGTCATCAGCACGCCTCCAAGAACTTGCTAAAAAGTTTAATTAAAACAAAAAGAGAGTGAGTCTGTACCATATTGTACTGGCTCAGACTAAACAGAACTTCAGCGAAAGGAATGCCTCTAAATACTCAGAAATCCCGTACTATAAAAGTAACAATATAGGATCCCCATTAAAAAAAAAAAATCAATAAAATCTAAATATATTTTAATCAATTTCTGGCAAATCCTTCAAAACAACATACAGACAAGAGATATAACTTAAGGGGCGCCTGGGTGGCTCAGTCGTTAAGCGTCTGCCTTCGGCTCAGGTCATGATCCCAGGGTCCTGGGATCGAGCCCCGCATTGGGTTCCCTGCTCTGCGGGAAGCCTGCTTCTCCCTCTCCCGCTCCCCCTGCTTGTGTTCCCTCTCTCATTGTGTCTCTCTGTCAAATAAATAAAATCTTAAAAAAAAAAAAAAAAAGATATAATTCAAATTTGCCAAGAAGAAACCATTGGCCTGGGAAGTGTCCTGATTGTCACAATAATTTTAAGACAAGGTGACAAAAATCTCAATGAAATTTTTAAAATAAAACTTCTGGCTCTTGAAGAAATCGTAACAGCAAAATGGCCATAAGCATACTTTACAGGTTAATATAAGAAAAACCCTTGCAATCCCGTTGTACAAATGAAA